CTCAAGAAATCCTCCTGCCTCGGCCTTCCAAATTGCTGGATTAGAGCGTGAGCTACTGTACCCAGCCCATCCAATATTATTTATAGGAAACGGGAAGACAGGGCACAGCCCTGAGTTGTTCCTGGACTTCGGTAGTAGCCATCTGGCCACACGACTCCACCTGTAGCCAAGGAGGAGCGTGGACCTTGTGTGCGGCACAAGGACCTGCTTTTCCGAGAGGGAGCAGGCGTCACATGCAGGGCTGATGTCACAATAGTCGGGGGGCAGAACACCTTGCGTTGAGAGTGTCACCCACCCCTGCGTCCAAGGAACGGTGAACCCGTCACGCCCACAACCGGGACAGTAACGTCAACGCTCAAATGAACACATGAACAGGGCCTGAGGGCCACAGAGCAGCAAGGAGACACACGGATGCCCACCCAGCTGTTTCTTGAGGGCGGGGTAAAGTATACACAACACACAACTGGCCATTTGCCAGTTCTAAGTGCACAAGGCAGTGGCACAAGGTGCCTTCACAACGTGGCGCGGCCGTCACCACTATCCATTTCCAGAATTCCTCCAGGTCCCAGACAGTCACGCTGCACCAGGCAACACTCACTCCCTGTTCTCTTGCCCCTCACCTGCCGTCTGACCCTCTGAACTTGCCCACTCCAGGTGCCTCCTATAAGGGAACGATGGAACCCTGGTTCTGCTGTGCTTGGCTTATTTCGCTGACCACGTGTTCAAGGTTCATCCCTGTGGCGGCATGTGGTGGGATTTCCTTTAAGTTGCAACAATACTCCCTTGGGCAGACGCGTGTTTTATGTGTCCGGTCATCTGCGGATGAACACGTGTTCCTGCCTTTTGGCTTTGGTGAGTAATGCAGCTACAAACGCTGGGGTGTGATTGCTGAATGTAATGGCTTTCAGGGACGTTTGGATTCTTTTTTCCTGTTTACCTTGCCTTAATGCTCAGAAAGCCCCCGACCTGAACGGGAGTGGGAAACACAAGTCGGTTTCCCACGCCTGCACCTCCCTCCCCTCGTGTTCCCCTCAGCCTGTCGCCACCGTCTGCCCCCCTCTGGGTTTCCCACTAGATCGCGGACAGTCTGAGCAGGCGCTTGTCTCACAGCTGTGGTGGCTTTGGGGTCTGTCCGCCCGGCCAAGCTGAGCCGCACCTCTCAGATTCCCTTCCTTTTCGACAAAGGGGACCCCCGTGGGAGGGGGAGGTGGAAAATGAGCAGCGGTCATCCCACGGCTTCCACCGATTGTCCCTTCTCTGCTGGCTCACCTCGGTGACTCCAGCTCCTGGGGCAGTGCCTGTTTGGCTCCACTGCAGGGGCCTGACCTCGTGGGCCTCGTCTCAATGTCAGGGGCAATAGGAATTGACACGGAGTGTCTGTCTTCACGGGCTCCAGCTCCGGCTGGGGTCCCAGTGGGTTCCTGCTCTCCCTCCCTTGACGCCCACCTTCTCTTCCTGACTGTCCAGAGACCGCTTCACCAGCCCCTGTGATGGCACAGATCAAATCCCCTCGACAAGTCCCTTCAGACTCGATCTTAGTGGTTCTGCTTGTCTGGGTCAAGCCTGACGAGGATACACTCACTCATTCATTCAACCAACAAATATCAATTGACCAAAAACTCTGAGCCCCTGCTAGGCACAGACACTGGGCTCTGGGCAGTGAATGAGACAAACTCCCTCTCGCCATGGCGTGTGTGGGTACCGGCGTGTCCCCAAGACACCGCACAACGCCACATGACGAGTCTGGAGACCAGGTTCTGCCTCGTCTGTGCCACCTCAGACCGGACCCTTCATCTCCCCATGTCTCGACCTCCTCATCAGAGAAGTTGGGCGACCAACCTTCCACCTGCTTCTCATACGAACGCACTTAGAGTAAACAGCAGCTGAAAGACATCTGAAAGACACAGGTCTAAAGATAAATACCTAAGAGAAACAAAGCCAAAAACCAGTCCAGGATAGTCTCATAATCTTTATTACGTATCAAATTGTCTTCAATAAGTTACAACCCGATTAAATTTGATAGATGTTTCATCTATTTAAAGACAGAAAACCATCTGTATGTACAACGTCTTGTCTAGAGTCTTAGCGAGTAGAGTCCCCTTCATTGCAGGATCTCTGCGTCGCGTAACGAGCAAAAGCAAACGACCAAAAAGTAGAAACCGAAGCAAACCAAACTCCTCACCTACAGATATGGATATCGGAGAAAGCATTAAGAGACAAATATAAAATAACTCTGTGTTCGCTTGTTTAGAGATGCATGGCGGATACTAAAATTAGTGACGAGATACAAAAAACGAGACAAAAACGCCCACGGCTGCGGCGGCACGTTCTCCCGCTCGGGCCCGGCGGCCGGCTCTAGACCATGTCGCGGCTCCTGCGGATGGCACAGCACAGGACCATGCTGAAGATCATGCCGAGGATCTGGAAGACAGGAGGAGACGTGGGACGGGGCGCTTGGGTCTGAAGGAGGGCCGAGGGGCGGGGACACGTGTGCCGCTGGACGCGAGACCAACGGCCGGGGGCCCGGCGCCCGCCAGGCCACACGACGGCCAGGGCGCCAGAGCACAAGACCTGGGCCCGCAAGGCGAAGGACCGCTAGACGTGTGGGGCTCTGAGCGGCGGCGGGCAGTGGCCAGTGCCAGCCTGGGCGCAAGCCCCTTCCCTGAAGAATGCTCAGCGTGAGACCGATAAGCTCGGAGCAAAATGTGAAGCCCAAATCCCAGATACTGCAGTAGTCCACAGGGTGCTTTGGTTTCTGTCTTTGGTACATGTGCATTGAATATTCTGCCTTAAAAGGTATTGTTATGTCTTTGACTGAAAGATGCTCCGAGCCCTTCTCAGATGCATTGAAGGAAGCAAATGTCCACTAAGGCAGGCAGTTCCCTACCGAGCTGTCTTGAAGGGGCAGAGGAGAGCTGGGGAGACACATGGAGCTAGGTCATCCCAAGGATAGCTGCGTCCCCTACAGGGCTCTCCCTCACCGGGAGAGGGCATGACCCCAAGGCAGCCAACTGGCCCTTGATGACTTCAGGGGCTGATTAGCAGCAGACGGATCCTGTGAGCTTCCAGGCCCTCTTCTGGCTGTGGAAGTCCACTTGTGGACACCCTTCAGACTAGAGGAGGAAACAGAAAAGTCCCCCCCAGATCGCTCCTAGGGAATGGCCCTAAGTACACTCACAAAGTTGCAGATGCTGACAGGACACACTCTGAGGCCCAGAAGGGCTGGCCTTGCCTCAGGGGGTTCCGAAATCTGAATGGCCAAGAGAGCCGGTCTGTGTATACACCAGAAGGAAGCTCAGATGCTCTAATTATGAGCGGAGGGGCCATGGTCATGTTCGACCCCAGTGTGTGTCCACTACCTAGTGATAGGATGGAACCGCTGAGAGCACCTGCCCACAGGTAGATGAGGTTTAACTTAGTTCATAGCGCACAGCATTCAGGACAGTGTCTGAGCGGAGTAAAGGGCAGTTCCTGTGATGCCACCCCTGCCTGTCACCCACTCACCATGACCACCGCGATGCCGATGCCCACTGCGCCGATGATGTGGAATTTGTTCTCGAAGACCTCCCTGATGGCCTCGGGGCAGGGCTGTGGGAGGGAGAGCAAGACCTGGGTCACACACAATCCCTCTCCAGGGCTCCTCTTCCCTCCCAAGGCACGGGTCGTGGCACGGGTCGCACCCCAGGAGCACGGGTGGGCAGAAGACGGGCTGGGGACAAGAGTGTGCGGGGACAACAGGGGTTCTGGCTGGTGGCTCTGCCAGTGCGTCCCCAGCCCCAAAGGACCGCAGGGAAGGAAGAGGGACAGGCCCTGCTGGGGCTTGTTTCTGAGGTGGTTGTAGGGTCATGTTTCAGGGTTCTGGGGCGGGACATTCCTCCAGCTCACAAGCACGAGCCACTGACAAGGTCAAAAAACAAGAAGCCGGAGCCCAAGCCTGAGAGGCACGCCTGTCCTCGACAGCTTGGGGCAGGGGCGCAGCCATGGGCACTTCTGGTCTGGCCTGGTATCTGCCTGCTGTCCAAGACGGAACAGAGGACTCAGAGTAGGGGAGAATGGAGAGGGTGGCCCTGGGCCCTGGCATGGGAGGAGAGGGCATTTCTGAAGCGCCGGCTGACAGCACTCTGTGTTCGCGGAATGTGCCCAGAGCCAGGGGCAGGGACACCAGAGGGTGCTCTTAGGGCTACCTTTATGGAGACGGATTCGAGTAGGTCCTTCTGGGGGCAGATGTCCGAGATAAACTGTTCCACGCCCCCAGCCACGCCACAGCAGTTCAACTACAGAGAGAAGGCCGGCACGGGAATGAGAGAAACACGTCAGAAAGGGCCACTCAGGTGGAAGCGTGCCGGTCCGCACAACCCACCCCGGAGAAGCGTCAGAGGGCGCGGCCTCTGCAGGCGGCCCTACCGCGGAGTGGATGGCTTTCAGCGTCTCCCGCTGGGGCTCGTCCTTGTTCTTCAGCTTGGCGTAGGTGTCCGTGTAAAAGTCCTGGAGCTTCTTGATCACCTGCGATGGCCGGACAAGGGCGGGGCAGGGACGTTGTTTCACATCGGTTGTGAGCAAATGTCACCCGTCCCACCTCGTTCACTGTCTTTCAGTCCTCAGCCAACCAACGCCTGTGCGGGGAAATGGCACCAGGCAGACAAAAGCCACAGCACCCTTCCCTCGGAGTCTCTGGGCGCTTCCCGTCCCCCCGACATCCTCCAGGGCCGGCTCCAGTCATTTGTCCATGTCTCTTTCACCTATGGTTGGTCCCTTCGGCCTCCACTTGGCTCCTACATCGAGTCTCCTCATGCTAAAGACGATCACTGAAAATCCCTTTAGCCGAGGGTGGGAGCGCGCGCCTGTAGTTCCAGCTCCTTGGAAGGCTGAGGCGGGAGGACCGCCGGAGCCCAGTGGGTCTACGCTGGGTGGCTGTGAGCAGGCCGCTGCACCTCAGTCTGGGTGACAGAGTGAGATGCCAACTCAAAAAAGAAAAGAAAAATCCCCTCCTGACCTGGCTGTTTCAACAGGCTCCGTCTCCTTTTTGTCTTCCCTGAGGTGTGACTTGGGGCAGATGACCAACCTCTCTGTCAGTTTCTGCACTGGTGGGAGATCACAACAGTCCCTACGGCTCATATAAAACCACGAGGATTTAAATGAGATACCGCAGGCTAGATCTGTCTGGAGCAGTGGAAATTTGGAAGCAGTGTTAGCTACTGTGACATTATATGGGGGA